TTCTTGATAAAGTTAAGAGACCCAGGTTTCAAAGGTTCAGGAAATAACAGGGAGGGAGAAATTTTCTTTGAGTGAAATAATCCCTCTTAAATACTTTGATCAAAAGTACTATTTATGTTGTTTGGATTTGAGTCACAGCTCAACTCTCACTTGTCAAAGACCTTGGACAATTTCTCATCTGTCATATATGGACAGTAATGATACTGACACTCAATGGAGTTTCAAGGAAAATGTGAGTTAATACTGTGAAGATCTTGGACTAGTGCTTGGGCACATAAAGAGTCCAGTATCCATGATGCAAAATATATATGTTAAAAATGATAGATAAATAAAATATGTCTTCAGATTGGCATAAGAGGAAAGTTTAAAACATCAAATTTTATTTTCCCGTTGAAGTCTAGTAAAATGTACTGGAAATTTTCAAATTGCTTATATTTAAGTTTAGATTTAATAAGATGCAAAAATATAAAGGACTTTGCAGCATGAATCACCTGTGCCAAATTATACATTACATTGTTGTACTAAATGTGATTATAAACATTTCAGAATTGAGTGTAAACTTATCCTTAAACCTGTATTTTGACAGCTGCATAATTAATGGTAAATGTCATTTTATTAGCAGTCTCAGCTGAGAGACTGGAAATTCAAGAATTATTTAACAATAAGAGAGGAAACATTGCTTTACTAAAACCAGAAACATCTTTCTCAGATTTTACTTTGTAGATTCCATTAAGGACAAGGATGAGGAGATCAATGTTCTCTGTGCCACTTTAATAAATTAGTAGCAAAGGATAAAGATATTATCTATGTTTTATGAGGAATGAGGCACAACCATAATGTGATTTAATTATTGTGTATCCATAATCTCTAAAAAATACTATTATTCTAAAAGACTATAAACTTTTTGAAATTAGATTTTATTCCAAGTGACTTTTAGATATTTTCCAAATGCTAATACTTCTTCACAGATTAGAGAAACAAAGCAAAAATAGACAATCAGGATTATATCAAGCTGAAAACCTTCTGCACACCAAAGGAAACAACCAGTGAAGAGAAGAGATAACCTACTAAATGGAAGAGACTTTTGCAAAGTGTCCATTTGACTGGGGTTTCATAGCTAAAATATGTAAGGAACTAAAACAACTCAATAGCAAAAAAAGTCTGATTTTAAAATGAGTAAAATTTCAGAAAAGACATTTTTCAAAAGAAGACATACACATAGCCAACAAGAATGTGAAAAAATGTTCCACATACTAACCATCAGAGAAATACAAATCGAAATCACCATGGCATATTATCCTACTCCAGTTAAAATGGTTTTTATCAAAAAGACAACAGATGCTGGCAAGAATGTGGAGAAAGGGGAACTCTAGCACATTGTCGTTGGGAATGTAAATTAGTACAGCCAATATGGAGAACAGTATGGAGGCTTCTCAAAAAGTAAAAATAGAACTACCAGATGATCCATCAACCCTGCTGCTGAGTGTATATGCAAAAGAAAGAAAGTCAATATACGTAAGAGATATTTGTGCTCCCCTGTTTATTGCAGTGCTATTCACAATAACCAAGATATGGAATCGACTTAAGGGTCTGTCACAGAAGAGTGGATAAAGAAAGCATGGTAGTATCCCCAAAGGAATATTATTCAGCTCTAAAAAGTATGAAATCGTATAATTTGCAGCAGCAGGAATGGAACTGGAGGCCACTATATTAAGTGTAATAAGCCAGGCACAGAAATGAATGTTCCATGTTCACATTCATATGTGTGAGATAAAAAAGTGCATCTCATGAAGTAGAATGATGGTTACCAGAGGCCAGAAATGGAAGGGAGGAGGAGAAAGATGAAAGGAAAAAAGAATATAACTATACGTATTACCACTGAACTGTACACTTAGGAATGATAAAGATAGTAAATTTTATATACATATTTTACCTGGATAAAAAATTTTAAAAATAAAATGTGATCTCTCATGACTCTTGCAAATGTTTATTGTATGCAGTGCAATGCTGTAAACTTGAACAACACCAGGGGATGCATCCAAAGTGCCATCACTAATGATGCTGGAAGTGCTCCTAAGACACGGAGAAAAGTCATGATATAACAGAAAAAGTTGAATTGCTTGATACCTATCATCAGTTAAATATGTGTTAATCAATTGTTTATGTCATTAGTAAGGCTTCAAGTCAATATTACATTATTAGTAGTTATGTTTCTGTAGAATCAAAAGTGATACTTGTTTTTTTTTTTTTTTTTTGAGACTGAGTTTCACTGTTACTGGCCAGGCTGTAGTGCAATGGCGCAATCTCAGCTCACCGCAACCTCTGCCTCCCAGGTTCAAGCGATTCTCCTGCCTCAGCCTTCCTGAGTAGCTGGGATTGCAGGCATTCACCAGCCACCACACCCAGCTAATTTTGTATTTTTAGTGGAGACAGGGTTTCTCCATGTTGGTCAGCTGGTCTTGAACTCCTGACCTCAGGTGATCCAACCACCTCAGCCTCCCAAAGCGCTGGGATTACAGGTTTGAGCCACTGTGCCTGGCCTACACTTGGACTTTTGACTGCCTTGAGGATTGGCACCACTAACCACCACCCCTCTTCTTACCTCCTGTTGTTCAAGGGTCAACTATATCTACTTTACATATAGCTTTGGCTCCAAGAGTTAATTTGTAGGTTATTGTTTGGAACTTGTCATTAATTTCTTGTTGATGTATAGAAGGAAATGTATAAATGAGGTTGGGTTTTAGGCAAGCCTTCAAAAGCCCACTTAATATATGATATCACTAATATAGTAATGGGGGCAATCATAAGAAAGGGGTCAAGTACACCGGGGAGCCCTGCAACAATTACATGTTGAGAAAAGGTTTTAGGGGCCAAAGCTCTTAATGGGGAAGACACCAGTAAAGAAGGGTGTGAGCTCGGGGCATGTTTCTAGCTGTAGTATTGATGACCAATAGTTCTATGGCCAGTAGCCAGGTTCACAGTTAGGCCATTTGTGAGCCTTCTCTTCCAATGTCACACTGAACTTTAGAGTTAGGAGGATCTTTGACATCTAACACCTCACCCTGCATATCAGTAAACCTCAATAGTTTGCCAAGGTTCACTATCAATAATTGACCAACGTTCATTGCCAGCCAATGGCAGAGTAAGGATGAGAACCCATGGATCAGGTGGCAAACCCGCTGGCAGTTTGTAGTTATGCCTTATGTAGAAGGGCTATTAACGTACAGATCTCGATATGGTTCCCGGAGCCAGCTCCACATCCTTCAGAAATTCACTAATGCGGACTATTTCTAAATGTATGAAATGAATGCTGGATTGCCAGTTCACTGATAATTTACCCTCCCTGGCTGAAAAAGGTCTCTGTTTCTTCTTTAGAACACTGAGTTAGCTGTTCTATACCCTTACTTGTTAAGTCTTAGTGGCGTCGTCTTGACATCACAAAATATAAAAACTGTAAAACTTTTTTTTGATGAAAGGAATTCATTATATTCAGAGACGATTATAATTCATTACTTTAATAAGCTTCCTTCAGTGATATCTACAAGGATAAAACCTACATTGGTAATCTGCAAATCTTCCCAATAGCCAATCAGCAAATAGGAAATAATTATTGGGTCATGGTATCAACATATGAGAGGTAATTGTTGTATTAAGTTCCGCTGCTATTAAAAGGATTGCGTGTTTGTTAGAAATTAAACAAATACATTTGTCTGAGGCCATACTGGTACAGAGTGCAAGAATAATGATTTGTATAAAGTCCCCAAAATAGCCTGCACTGACTGGGAGTCTTTGACATCCCTGTTCCCATGCTAAGTCCATCTGTGATCACAATAACCCCTCAGTCTGGCATTCAGCCCTCCCTGCCAACTGGACACATGCCACTGATGAACAGCTTCTCACCCCCCTTTATAACCAGAGCACAAATATTAGATGAATTTCCTTTGAACCTTGCTTCCTTTTGGCTCTTAACATAGTCTAGCTCCTTAGAAGAAACATTTCAGGTTCTGGGACCCACAGAATCCCTTATTAATCATCTTTTTTTTTTTTTCTGAAGGAACAAATAGTAAAAGGATTTTTATATTTCTCCAAGGTAATAGATACTGTGTATCATGATTGTAAAAGATGTCCCACTTCCTAAATATTTAATTAGAATCTGTCACTGCAGTATATGGAATATTAACCATCTTGCCCTTAAAAAGAGTACTAAGGTTTCTCTGCATATCAATAATACTATTAATAAGAATCAGAAGTTACATAGAAATCATTTATAGATATAGATATAGAATTAGAAATAATAAGAAATGATAGTCATTTTCTCTTTGATGCTTCTTCCAAAAACCTTCTAAACCTATTTCTTGGTCTAAAGAACATATTTCTTTAGACACTTTCATATGTAAACTAGCTAGACAACAGCCAAGCCATATTTAAATAACTCCATGTAATAAAATAATATGTTTTCCATATTAAGAGGAAAGATTCCAGAATGTTATATTCTCTTTAATGCCATTATCCAGTTAGAAAACTTTTAACCATAATGATAATAATTTCCAGCTATCCCAAATCCTAAAATAAAGTGCCAACCCCCCCCAAATATATTTTGTTACTGAAACATGTGTAAACAATTATGAATATCTAAACCATACTGGTATTGGTTTTCAGACTCACTCCAAAACTGTAGGGAAAAATTACCCCTAATGAGTATGTTGATAAATATATTAGACTTCAAAAGTTGCTTTTAAGACCCAGAGAATAGAGGTTTCATTTTTTATTGGATATTAAAAAATGGTATAAATTTTATATTTTACATTTCAGAAAAAGACATCTATATTGCTCTTCTGATTTGTAAAACTCAAGTTGATTCAAAACTGCACCAGAATCTGGGGAGTAATCAATTGGAAAGAGATTATAATTTGGGGGAGATCAATGAAGGCCTCTGACTTGATCAAAAGTTTTTCTTCTTGTTTTTCTCTTCAAAAAAATGAATAGAAGTACATGGATTCGTGCTCGCTTCAGCAGCACATATCTAAAATTAGAATGATACAGAGAAGGCATGGCTCCTGTGCAAGGATGACATGCAAATCCGTGAAGCGTTCCATATATAATAACGTTTTAAAGTTAAAAAAAAAAAAAGAAGTACATGGATTCATTATGCTAGGTACATGGATTCATTATAAGAAAAAATTTGAAGCTAGTTATATATTTAAATACTAAAATGTTTAGTTCAAAAATAGTTTTAAATGAACCTACCTCTTATTGTTACCACAAGAAGCAATCCCAATCTTATTCAAATTCTATTTTAAATGGCGGGCCGGGCGCGGTGGTTCATGCCTGTAATCCCAGCACTTTGGGAGGCCGAGGTGGGTGGATCACGAGGTCAAGAGATCGAGACCATCCTGGTCAACATGGTGAAACCCCGTCTCTACTAAAAATACAAAAAAATAGCTGGGCGTGGTGGTGTGTGCCTGTAATCCCAGCTACTCAGGAGGCTGAGGCAGGAGAATTGCTGAACCCAGGAGGCGGAGGTTGCGGTGAGCCGAGATCATGCCATTGCACTCCAGCCTGGGTGACATGAGCAAAACTCCGTTTCAAAAAAAAAAAAAAAAAAAAAAAATGGCATGGATTCTCCCACCCATTAGCACAATATTGTTCACAATGGTAAAGTAATTATTGTATCTTTATAAAAACTCTAGTTAACACTCATTCTTTGATATTACTCTTTTGTCTCTGTGGTCTCTCTGTCTGTCTCTCTCCCTCATTTGCACACATATATGCACAGACACAAACACTCACACAGTCAATTTCTCCAGGCCAAAGCCTGGGTCTTTTATCGTCCTCACTTAGCGCGATGCCTGGGAAGTTCTTAGTATTTGTAAAATTAAATGATAATGTTCAAACCAGATACAAAATTAAACACATGCCATAATTTACAAGTTATGCTCTAGGTTACACTGATATGACATTCTTTAAAAATGTTAAAATACATGATTATGTTTATGGGTTCTTGCATATATAATTTTTAAATTGTTTTAGCTTTGTGTCTTGAAATCATATTGAACTGATGAGTTGAAAAACAGCATAAACAATTCCTGTACACTTTATATCCAGATTCCCCAAAATATTTTTTACATTTTTATTTACTTATTTAATCTTAAATGTTTATGGATATATAGTAGGGGTATGCATTTGTGGGGTACATGAGACTTAAAAATGTTGAATGCATCATTACATTACATCACTATTACATTATATCATTATGACATTACCTCACTATTACATTAGAATAGTGTTGATACTGTGTGTATGAAGGTTACATGAATACAATTTCTCTTCTCTTATCTCAGAAAAAAGAAGGTCTCCTTCTTAGCCTCAGACTTTCATATATTTGGCTGCAAGAGAGATATGAGGGGATAGAGAGTGAGAAGAGGTAACATTTGGGGAATATACTGTTCATGAAAAATGACTATGTCCCCACCCCCTGCTCCCAGAGGGGGAAGGGATAGGGGTCCATGAGTTCTCCCCCTAAGGTAATCACCTGTGAAGCTTAGAGATGACTTGAAGAGGGAGAGAAAGTTGCATGTTTACCTGGCTGAATATCTGCTTAGTAACAGGGTTTGAGGAATGTCCTTGTACTGCCAGAAAGGAAGAAAGAGCATGCTGAGATATTGCTGCTGGTGAGGTTTGCCAGGCTAAGAAGGGGCAAGAAGCAGTCCCCTGAGTTCTCAGGAATTCCAGGTAGAGGTATATCTGTCCCAGGCCACAGGCCCCAGAGTTAAAGTTATAGAAGGTAGAAGAAATTAGGTTCGATATCTAGGCTTCTCAGGGACCTGGCATGAGATGACAAGACACCTGAGGCTTTTAATCAGGATCAGCTGGAAACTGTAGCTGAGCCTCTCAATGCTCCAGGCAACTGACTCAACATCAGAGCTTTCTGAGGCTGCCCCCCCACAATGAGACAATGAGTGAGGTTAACAGGAATGACCCCCCAAAAAAGATTTAGTTTGTCCTCTTCTTCTACCTTAAATCAAAAGGAACAAATTTGGGAAAGTTATGAGAGAATGGACCTCATTCACCACCTCCAACTCTTCAGTTATTAGTTTTTTTATTGCTGTGCAACAAATTACCAAAAACATGGCAACTTAAAACCACATCCATTCACTAGTTCACAGTTTGGTAGCTTAGAAATCCAGGGGCAGTGGGATGGGTGTTCTCTGGTCAGAGCTCAAAATTTAAAATTAAAGCATTGGCCAGGCTAAATTCTTGTCTGGAGCCTCTGGGGAAGAGCCCACTGAGAAGCTGGCAGAATTCCCCTCCCTGCAACTGGAGGGCTGAAGCCCCTGTTTCCTTATAAGCTGCCAGTCAAGAACTGCTCTCAGCTCCCAGAGGCTGCCCACATTCCTTTGCCACCTGGTCCCCTCCATCTTCTAACCCAGCAATGGAGACTCTGACACCTTGAATCTCTCCCAGAATTTTTCTTTCTCTATATTCCTTGTCTCTGACATCTAGACCCAGATTTTAGCTCCCTAATTTAAGTTCAACTGATTTGTGAATATAATTACATGTGGAAAATTCCTTCCAGCAACACCTGGATTAGTGTTTGTTTGAGTAAGTGGAGGAAGATGTATATACATCAAGGGCCAGGAATTTTAAGAGCTATCTCATAATTAGCTCTGTCATACTTCTCTACCTACCTTTAAGTGTGAGAGCTGCAAATCTATACTTCCCTTGGGGGAAGGTTTTGGATCCAAATGAGAATAAAGTTTTAGTGAAAATGAGACTTTTAATAACTGGCAATAACTTAAGTGTAATGACACAGGACTTTAATATCATTAAGGGAGCCAGATCCATTAAGAAAAGGGGTAGGTTTGTCAACAGAGCTGGATAGTAGCAGTTATTCAAAAAATAAAATTATTTCTTATTTATTTACCTTAAAAGTTGAGAATCTTCAATTGAAACTATTATCTATGATTGAAACATCCTCATACAGTAGAGCATTTTATTGTAGTAGATGCCTACACTGTTCTTGCTATATTTTATCACATTAATGTTTAAGATAACCCTATGTGATTGGTACTATCATCACAGTAAATAAAAGGCAGACCTGAGACTTAAATCCATAAAGCGTTGCAAACACAAATCTTTTCACTTTTGGCTAATGTAAATGACAGAATTAGGCCAGGTGTGAGGCAATCGGAAGTGGTGAGGACTACAGCTAAGTGGAAAGCATATGCCCTGTTAAATGTGAACAGCAACTGCTCAGCTGAAGATATTTGCTGCTATTTTGGGAGGCTGTTTCAGTATTGTGGAATCTCCTGATCCTTTCAAAGAAACTTAACATTGGAATTTTAATGGAAGATCTCTCAAGTTTTATATATTGGTAACTAATTTTTAAAAGGGAAACCTCTCCATGACAAACAGAGAAGTGAATAAAGTTCTGTGATCAGATTCAGCACAGGGACCATCAGTTCGTGTCTTCTGATATCATCCAATGTACTCATACCATAAATGATAAACTTAATGTGTATGGGGAAAGGAAGGATGGGAGTTGATGAGAAGGGATATAATGACTAGAACAATTTATATTGTTAATTTAAAAAGCCTACTTTGATGTGGTTTTTAAAGTAAAGAGGATTACTAGCAGATTTTACTAAAAAAAATCCAGATATTCCAAGCTCCAGGTGAAGTTTGATTCAGTGTTTAAACAATGACACCTGCTTCCTCTCCATCTCATTGCTGTATACTTTAGTTGTTACTTCACCCTCAGACTCCACATGGGAGCCTTTAGGCAGCTGCAGGTTCTCTCAGATGTCCACACATGGCTGTGGTCCTGCTGAACTTCAAAATCTTACATCACTTTCCTGGGAGTCCCTGCAAAACCTGCATAAATATCATTATCACTGATTGGATTTCGTGCCCAGGTCCTAACAGCTGATTGATTTAAGCCAATGAAGTCTAACCCTAGAACTGGTAAGAGGCCAATCCTTCAAACCTCATAGCTAAGCATAAACAACAATCAATTCCCAAAGGAAATTAGAAATACTCTTAAGAAAGACAGATGCTAGGAAACAAAGAACAGAATCTATCTGAGGTTTGTCTTCTGAATACCTCCTCAGTTCTAGGACTTAAAAGACGTCTATGAAATATCTACTTCCAGTCTCAACTCTCCTTGTGGACTCTGATCTATTTATCCAAATGCATATAATCCACTTTTACTTAGACATCGCTATGTCATTTTATCCTTTCTACCCCGCTTCCCACAACACTCTACTACATCTAATTTCTTAGTCAACATTCTTGGGTGCAGGAAATAGAAATCAGTTCTAGCTAACCTAAGCAGAAAAGGAACTTTATTCAAAACATATCTGGTAGCTTACAGAATTTAGCTACTGTGGGAAGATTATAGAAGCAGAGACTAGACAGGAATCAAGGGAAATAGGGGGAGCTGCAGGCAAGGTACTACCCCAAATCCCACTGTCTCTGGACACACTTTCTTCCCCAGAGCCTGCAGGCTGCTGCTTCTGCCTCTGCTGCTGAATGTCAAGGTCATGAGTGATTTCTAAACTGTCCTCTCTTATTTATGTCATTTGTTCCAAATTCAGAATCTTAGGTTGGGGCATCTAGTTAGCCACATTTAAATCACATGTCTTGTCCTACTCACTAGATAGAGCAGGATTACTTGGCATTTATAGTATAGGATTACTTCTGAATAAGAGAGGGTTGAACAATGGGCAATGAAAAAATGACAATGTCCTTAATTCTTATATTTCATGGAGCCTCACAACAAGACAGCTACCAGTTAAATATAAATAAGTCCATTCTCATACCTATAGCTCTCTAAAGATAAAATAAATATGTCATCTCTATGGGCAATATGTTTCTTTCTCTTTTTTTTCATTCTATGTTTCTCTTTAAAGTATCCAAGGCATAGATTCACTGACCACTTGGTGGCAATATTAAAGAAAGAGTCCAGGCATCACAGGGTTGGATAGACCAAATGATTTTTTAAAACCTCAATAATCTAAACATTTTAGATCAATGTCAAGTTAGAAGTATGCCCTCAGTCCCAATTTACTGCTAGGTGTTCTGCTCTTTCTTCCACTATTTG